AGTAAATTAAAGCTTTGCTTTCAACGAATGCCATATGGTTCTTACCAGGTGCAAGCTTACACAAATTCTAAGCAGTTTAAATCAAGAGTGGGAAACTTCCCTGGTAGTGCCCATACAGACTGGAGCTAATGAGTTTAAACCCCAGGCATCTGGAATACATCACATTGCCAAAACTATGGACAGTTCAAACAAGCCACAATAACCTCAGTTATAAAGTGAATTGTGCTACTTTGATCTAGGAGCGGGAAAAACTTCGAAACAAGGAAGATACAGTTATGGTTGCAAATACCCTGAAAATCCTCCCTTCTCTGGTGTGTCTTTAGAGCTGATGTGTATGATGACTAAAGCTTTTTTCCCCATCAGAGCGATACTGTTGATCTTACTGTATTAGCCAGTTCTTGTCTGATACATCAGCTGGGGTGCTTGCTTATTCTTCAGGAAGACTAGCCAATAATGTAATTGCTAGGTCTTGTGTCATTTTAGGATTCAAATGAATCAATGAAGAAATAGCAGAACTTTTGTACTAGATCTATGGAAAAAAAGGAGTCATGTAAACCTAAGAAAAATGGAGCTGGCTGTTTCAAGTGCATCCAGGAAATATAAAGGTAAAAAAATTGTTTTGTGTTGTTATTAAATGTACTTATTAAAAGTAATCCCACTATCCAGTTTGCTAAATGAAATATTCAGAAGGACTCTGAAATGTTACATTTCCCTCCTGGGCAATGCTGATCTGAATGTTCTGACCCGTGGTTGTCCAGACAATTTAGTTCTAGAACATTTTAAAACCAGAATGGTTGGGTTGATTTGGTCCTAGAGGAAACAACAGCATATTGGAGTTCTTTGGAATCAAATGCTTTGCATTTCTCTATATAATGACTTTGTTGGAGACTGTACCATAGATCATCCTGGAGCAAATTCTGCCTCTCCCAGGAGCTCATGGGATAACACAACTTTACGGATAAAGACTAAAATGTGCAGTATGAGTTATCTGCTCAACCTTGTTTTAAAGATTTTGGAAAGATTGCATCACTTTTCTTTGGGGTTAAAGAATGAGAGGTAATATTAAAAGCTTCAAGTTGAAGTCAATTTTTTTAAAATTCTCAATGGATCAATGCACTTTGAGAAAATGTGGGTGGAAAACTTGGAAATTCTAGTCGAGGTTGATGAAATTGGTTCATAAAGCTGCTGAGGTGAATGCATTTATTGCAAATTGACTGAAAAGACAGTTCCAAGAAAATCATTATTCAACGTTTTTTCCTTAATATTCTGTGCTGATAACTGTAGCAGTAAATGGAGAAGGATACAAGCCAGTTTGGCTTGTTTGAACTGTCCATAGTTTTGGCAATGTGATGTATTCCAGATGCCTGGGCTTTAAACTCATTAGCTCCAGTCAGTATGGGCAGTGCCAGGGAAGTTTCCCACTCTTGATTTAAACTGCTTAGAATTTGTGTAAGCTTGCACCTGGTAAGAACCATACGGCATTCATTGAAAGCAAAGCTTTAATTTACTCATAAGAAAAAGAGTAAGAAATTAAAGAGCCTAGGGCTCATATTGTATTGAACTGGTGCAGTTGCAAATAAAATAACCTCAGTTATAAAGTGAATTGTGCTACTTGAGCGGAGAAAACTTCGAAACAAGGAAGTTACAGTTATGTTGTAAATATCCTAAAAATCCTCCCTTCTCTGGAGAGCTGATGTGTATGATGACTAAAGCTTTTTTCCCCATCAGAGCGATACTGTTGATCTTACTGTATTAGCCAGTCTTGTCTGATACATCAGCTGGGTTGCTTGCTTATTCTTCTCCAGGCAGACTAGCCTATAATGTAATTGCTAGGTCTTGTGTCATTTTAGGATTCAAATGAATCAATGAAGAAATAGCAGAACTTTTGTACTAGATCTATGGGAAAAAAGGAGTCATGTAAACCTAAGAAAAATGAAGCTGGCTGTTTCAAGCGCATCCAGGAAATATAAAGGTAATTTTGTGTGTGTGTGTTATTAAATGTACTAATTAAAAGTAATCCCACTATCCAATTTGCTAAATGGAATATTCAGAAGGACTCTGAATATTCTAGTTGAGGTTGATGAAATTGGTTCCTAAAGCTGCTAAGGTGAATGCATTTATTGCAAATTGACTGAAAAGACAGTTCCAAGAAAATCATTATTCAACTTTTTTTCCTTAAATGTTCTGTGCTGATAACTGTAGCAGTAAATGGAGAAGGATACAAGCCAGTTTAGTTGTGGCTTGTTTGAACTGTCCATAGTTTTGGCAATGTGTGATGTATTCCAGATGCCTGGGCTTTAAACTCATTAGCTCCAGTCAGTATGGGCAGTACCAGGGAAGTTTCCCACTCTTGATTTAAACTGCTTAGAATTTGTGTAAGCTTGCACCTGGTAAAAACCATACTGCATTCATTGAAAGCAAAGCTTTAATTTACTCATAAGAAAAAGAGTAAGAAATTAAAGAGGTGCAGTGTTGCATATAAAATAACCTCAGTTATAAAGTGAATTGTGCTACTTTGATCTAGGAGCGGGGAAAACTTCGAAACAAGGAAGTTACAGTTATGGTTGCAAATACCCTGAAAATCCTCCCTTCTCTGGTGTGTCTTTAGAGCTGATGTGTATGATGACTAAAGCTTTTTTCCCCATCAGAGCGATACTGTTGA